CACACACACGCGTCGGGGGGGGGGCACAAATCGCACGCACTTCGTGGGACAAGGAACCCCAATTCCCCCTCCCCCCACCACCAAACCCTTCCCCCCTTCCGACCATCTGATAAATGAATCGAATTTTTCTTAATTTAGATTACGTTTCAGAGGTTTCGTTAAGAAGCATTCGGACCTTTTCTTTTCTTTTCTTTTCTTTGAGGAACTGGATTTAGGGTAGGAGGAGGTTCTGATGCATTGCGACCTGTCAGGTGGATCGGTCAGTGGCGGCTCGTGTCTGAATATCGCTTCAAGCAGACGCCAGAAAGGAACAACTGTGACTTTACTTCTGCACAGCGCGTAATTGGTACGACTGGTACTGACGTTTCTTGTGCAGAAAACGTAATAATACGCTTTCTCGTCACAAACTGAACGTGTGTCTGCCTGCCCGGACGACCGAACTCGACAACCGCAGGTCGACTTTTGATCGAACTGCTTTCGAGATGTTGGAGTTGACACGTCAGCTTACGTGGTTGTGCTCAGACGCCATCATGCAGACTTCTGACATTTACTCCACAGCGCGCATGCGTGTGACGGCAATGCTTTACTACAAGGAGACATCTGCAAACAGCGGCACTTCAAAATCACATCATCAATTTAAACCGGAGTGGTAACTATACGTACCACTTGCCCTAATACGTCTGCATTTTGCATTCATGAGTTTCGTTCTCCAAATAAAGAGCGTTAACCAGTTGAACTTTGTAATGGTGAAGTGTTGTGTTTCCTTTGCGGTACGGACTGATGTCTTAAATATTATTTAGACGATCTCCGATATCAAAGACTTTACGACAGGTTTGTGCAATGAATAATAAAGAGAAATTTCGTGCTGTGAGTCCGTAGGCTGGCATCGGATGGTCCTTGCGACACCAGGCCGTAGGGAAGGACTCCGCCATTTCACGCCTCAATTCAATCGTTATGCAATGACGAGCGACGGAGCGCACGGCCAATTCACTGTTACTTCAATTCGATCTTCGCTTCGTGTTGTCCCCGGGCTGTGAGCCACCAGACACATTCTGGTTCTGCAATCCGTGTTTCGCTGCGAGGCCGAGGGAGATCGGTCGTGGGTCACTGTTGTGAGCACGGCGATGAACTTTAGCGCTTCTGAAGCACGACGCACCTCCAAAGGATCAGGTGGACGCCTGTTTTATTTCATAATCTCTCTCTCTATTTTGTAACACGATTACTTCCGTTATGGGTTTTGTTGGTCTACGCACATTTGCTCCTGTAATTAGGACAATCAGACAGTCGCTTGAAGATCAGACCTTCAGTGACTATTTCTGCTGCAAATTCAATTTGCAGGGACTGAAATTTTCCAGTTGTCAACGACCCAATTATCAACGTAAGGGCCCTAACCCACAATCTGCTGAGATCATTGAAGTTTCAATCTGTGCATTGTTCCCCGTTACCTGTAATTCGTATTATATCAGAATGTATCTCGTTTTATGTTATTCAGTGATTGTAATTGGTGTTCCATAGCCACGGTGGTCTAGCGGTTAGAACGCTGGCCTTGTAATCCTGGGGGTCTCGGGTTAGATTCCCGGCGGTGCCCGAATTTATAACTTGTGTTGGGCAAGGCCGCGGTCTAGGCAACACGGAGTTTTCCTCCGTGGCATCCCAACAATTACTCCATTCACACACAGAAGAAGGCAATGGCAAACCACTTCTGGATCATCTGCCAAGAACGTATATGAACAGGTCCCAGTCCGAGAAAAGGATGGAAGGATCCTGTTCATATGGACCTGTCCTCAGACAGAACACTAAATAATAATAATAATAATTGGCGTTCAAGCAGTTGTAAGGCTGAGATAATAAATTCGCGTGCAATTTGGGTTTTAAAAGCCCATCGACAGGGTCATGTTGGAATCACCCTGTAGTCTCTAAGGGACAGACAGAAAAATATTCTTATTTTCGCTCTGCTCCGAGACTTAAAGTGAATTTAAATCGGCAAGGAGTGACGAGCTCAATTCCACGTTCTAAGCCAGTAATTCATAAAACAAAATTCAACGTCGATCCCGAATGTGAATGAAAAACAGAGTCAAAGGAGTAACATCTCCTCGGACACGTAAAAGATCCAACCCACTGCGCATGCGCCTTGGCTTTAATCACTTCGAAGCAAATCGGAGCTGACGGATGAAATTCTAACAAGGAACTTAGTTCAGAACGACAAGCTTCACGGCGAGCAGAGTTCGACTAATACAGTTTACCGGTTCATTCGAGTCGGGTCATTAAAAGTTTCGCCCCCCCCCCCCCCCACCCCCGAGTGCTCTGCCGGCGATATTAATCCGTCGTTGCTACGAATTACAGATCGCCGGTAACTAATAAGGACGCCGGACCAGCGCGGGTCGCGGTCCTTTTGGTCCACGAAATATGACGAATTGTTAATTAATATGAACGGTGCTGCCGAGGACGAAGGAGCGGGGAACAGTGGCAACGGACAGGTCCGAGCTAATCTGCGTGACGAATCGATAAATTAGGTTTCTGTGACTACGAAGACGCCCTAGATTTAAGGAAATATGATTTAGACAGGCCTCGAGAAGGCAAGAGCAGGCACTTCCTGAAGAACATCACGAAAATGTTTGGAGAAGCAATGAAAATGACAGGAACGTATGAGAAATAGGGGGACGAACGGAGACTGTGAGTACAGTCCTGGACACAGAAAATGAAACACGGAACCTAATCAACGAGACAGTCGAGGGGATAGAGGCGTAGCTGCCTACCTTACTGATGGTCTGTGGGTTCCCGTCAGACGGATCCGAGGTTTGACGTTCCCAGGGCGACGAGCTATCGGCGTAGGACTTCTGCGTTGTTTGCTGCTCGGAGATGCTGGTACCTACCTAGAAAAGAACCCAGAAATATCAGCGAGGGTGCCCGGTGTCTGCACTGAGCAGGGTAGTTGATGCAAATGGCCGACATCTGGCAGCTCAACTCGAGGGCCGCGAGAAAAATCCTCGAGTTGCCGCATCTGACCCAGAGTGACGTCACAAATGTGGGGGTAATCTGGCAACCAGGTCACGTGTAATTCAGAATTCCATTAGTCTTTAATTTAATTAAGTGTTGCATGTGTACGTCACACTCTGAAACATGAAGGTGTGAGGCGGGAGTACAGTCTGGCTCAAAAGAAAGTAGACGTGCTATGGATCAGTTTGCGTGTTTTAAAAAGGTGTCAGATAATACACCCGGATTGTCTGCGATCCCAACTTCATTACGATAAAAAAATTGTCTGTTCCACTAATTTTCCTTCACGAAGCTTCATACCGCAAACAAGTAATTATTTATGACACAATTCTGTCGTAGTTTAACTTTTGAAAGAGGCTGTACCAGATGCCAGCAGGAGTGCAAATACCAGAGAGAAAAATGTGCACGTCTGGTCACCAGAACACAACCACAAAATGGCTAATCAAGTGTTAACAAACGTCGAACTGCATTAATTAAGCAAGTACAAGCAAGCAGAGCGCAGACCATCGGCACTCGTCGCTGTTCACAGGCTCCGGCCTCCTTGTCTCCTGTCGAAACACAAATCGTTAAGTTCAAAATAAATTCGCAAGTCTGTCTTTAGCTCTGATGAGCGCGGACCACGGCCTCCCATATTAAAGGGAGGACACAAAAATATTGGTACAGATGCTTCATAATTATGATCGCACTTTTGAGACATGAAAACTTACTAGGGAGGATAATATTAAAGTTGGTCTTACAGAAAAAGAACATGAGGATCTCGGATTAAGTCATGTGACTCAGATCAGGGTAACAGGAGTGACGTTCATTAACGACGCTGTTCTCCTTGGGTGTCTAAGGAAAATCATGAAATTCTGGTATTAACGAGTCTTGAATGCTATTGGTGTGTTCGCCAGGTCGAATACCTTTCCAGATGCATTTTGTTAGTCTACTCAGGCCAATTCCGGTAAAATAATTATAACATGCCAAGGCAATTGCCCGCCAACTGCGTAACACTGGCAGTTGATACATCGTCGTGCTCGCGTACGAGAGGAGGTCCGAGCCGCAGGCCGAATTGAGTCTCGTCAGGGCCGTAATCCGGCAGTGACACTGAGGATTGTAAGCGGACGCAGAGACCGCCTATCTGCTTCGGAAGATCGCGGTGGCGAGCCAGCGGGACACGGGCTCAGCTGACGGGGGAAATTGAAATCTTGTTAAGCAAGGCGTGGCAGCCATCATCCTGACGTCATTAGTGCGTTTCCTGACCGTGAGTCTCGAGAATTATATCGCAGTGCCGTGTGGGGACAAAGATGGCTTTATCGGGGATCACTCATGTCCCTTGCTTAGCTATTGTCTGCAGTGGATGATACAGCGTCGCTAAACAGCCTGTTCATTTTGTCACCAACACAATTCAACTTATTCCTGAGCAAAACTCATAAATTCTTTTAGCCTTTTTCAAATGTTATCGACGAGGTTTTTCGGTTACAAATATTTCTTATTCTTCTCGTCCAGTTGACATCTGACGTCGTCATATCCGTCTCCAGTTTCATTTGTCACGATAGAAAAACCGCTCTATAAATAAACAGTTTGTCGTTCGTTACTAAAGACAAAATGACCTTCGATTCGAATACGAAAATCAGCTCCGGACGTTCGAACCCCGTCAAATCGTTTCGCGTCCGAACAAAAGCGAGACAGTCCAGAAACTTCCTCCGGTGTTCCGATATTTCAACGACTCCGCGGCGGCAGAAACGTGAATCTTCTTCACCGCTGTCTCGACTTCATCCTGTGACAAGACGTCGTCTCGTGTCTTCTTACAAGTTCATTCTCTTTCTGGAAGAGGCTGAGTCAGACGGAGCCAAAGTCCGATTCACTCATCGCCCTGATGGAGGCAGCAAGGACCTCTGTAACGTCTGTAATATTTTATACCAGACTACACAGCGAAACAACCCAGAATAAAATCAGCCACACGCCACGTTGCTAAGCACATGACATCGATTTACAAAACGTTTACCCCTCCTTCGTTACGCAACCCTTGTTTTCTGTCATTTTTCGATACGGAAATTCAAACTTTTTCGTTCTTCGCGTCAAGGAAATTTCAGAGACGTAAGACGTAAGACGCTGCATAAACGTTACGCGGTTTTAAAATTAATTTTAGTCGACTACGATGAGATGTTTATCTTAAACAAGCAAATTCACGTCGATATTAATGACATTTACAAATATTTTAATATTTTCCGTCAAATTACAATTTTTAATAAGATAATAAAATATAAAATATTTAAAATATCATTTCATGTCGTAAAAAACGCTCCAATTTGTAAATCGATCATTCGATGCGGAACGTGAAATGATATTTTAAATATTTTATATTTTATTATCTTATTAAAAATTGTGATTTGACGGAAAATATTAAAATATTAACCTAATTCAAAATATGACGCAAATATACTACCTTATGACATTTACAAAACAAAATTCACTGAGGCACGGTCGTCAGTTAATCCGTTATGCACTCCCGTGCAAATCGAGTCCCTTATTCACACAAACGAAGGTGAAATATGGTTTCAATTAATGATCCCGCGTCACACATTTCACGAGTGCATTCCCCTGACAAAATAAATTCACCACAAAAATTATTTTACGAAGTTCCCACGTGTTCTTTCCGGCGGGCAAACATTTTTCCGCCTTGTGTAAGCCCGTGTTAACAGACTCACACTGAAACGTGCTCACACATGACGTCATGCAGTTAAATTCCTCACACTACATGGACGGGGCTTTCTTAGGTTTAACCAAATCGCTCACTGCCAGCCACACTCTCATTGCGAACAGCGATTATTTCCTTAAACAGCGTTAACCAGTTGATCCTTTCAATGGTTAAGTGTGGTGTTTACTTCGCGGTACGGACTGAATTCTTAAAAGTAATTCAGACTACAGAGCACCCCCTTCTACTCTTCTGCTCTCTTCTTATCTCTCTCTCTCTCTCTCTCTCTATCTCTCCCGCTTCAGCACCCGAAGTCTGTTTCAGGTGCCCCGGAGGGTCACATCGACCAACCCCCTAAGCTGGGACACAGGACGATGATTTCTGGAATTTGACTGTAAACTTTTTTGTAATTGGATAAGCAACGAACCAAGTTGGTCGTTTCCTATCCAAAACATGAATTTTTAATAAAGGAAAAGCCCGTTAGGGCACGCGATTTTAAATGCCGGACCGCTGGCTAGAAGACAGCACGCAACTCGACCAAGGCTCTCCGTGGTTTTCCTCGGTACTGGAGCAAATTCTGAGTTGGTACCCAAATTCCACGTTGCCACTGCATGCAGCGCTCCCAGTGTTAGCATCGAAATTCCGCTCTGTAGAGCCCCCCCCCATATTTACGTAAATCTTTTTTCCAAACGCCGCCCTTCCAAGGCCAATATCAAAATTCGAAATTAACGCAAAGACCCTGATCCATTTCTTAACCCATAATGTCTCCTTCTAAATCCCTTGCTATTTCTAAACCTATTCATATCAGAAAGACGAGCGGGCACTGCCTGGGAACCTTCGTAGCCTCTAACCAACTTCTCTCCTCCTCAGCTTGAAATGGTTAATTAATTATCAGAACAAAGATCGATTATTTCCTTAAACAGTTGATTTTTTTAATGGTGAAGTGTCGTGTTTTCTTCGCGGTACGGACAGGACACTTATATATACGAGCTTCGGATTGAAAGGATTAATAAGCAGGGCGTCGACTCGCCGAAGGACAAGTAACGCGCTCCTTAAAAAGAAGGAGAAGAAGGCATTTTGAGTCTTGCTTCTGTGGGACCGTGACGTATGGCAGCCGCTGACAAGTCGGAACTCCTACACGTGCACAGTAGCGCGGAGGCGGTTCGAGTTTCACGGGACACATCGCGACGCGAGAGAACGAGACAGGGGTCAGGTAGAAGTTAACGTCACTTGTGTTACAGACGTCGGTACTTACAAATTTCGTGAAAAAACAGTGTGAAGTAATCGCTGTTCGTTTTAAATGTCGAAGTACACTGGACGATCTAAGCTTCATCATCCTCAAAATCATCATTTAATAGACAAGAGAACATCTGATGATCGATTGAGCGCGCCCAAGTCTTCTTACTAACTGGGCTGGGCTAGCAACTTCGATGTTCGCGAACGAACAATAAATATCCACGGAATTTTAGTGGTATTCGCCCCTTGAAGACCGATCGCTCGGAGGCCGAGATCACAGGTTACACAGCATCGCCTCAGCCGCTGATCGTTTCTCACGAGGCCAACCTTCTCTTAGGGCCTTCTGCACCGCGTGTCTTTGCTGTACGTCGGTCTAAACGCACCTCTGATTTGCGATTCAGAATTATTTCAACCGAACATTGAGGACTCGCTATCGAACTTTTGCATTATGCTAATGTTAATCATCAGCATAATGCCTCACGATTAAGGAAAATGGGATTTATGTGGAAGGTCGACAGAATTTTAATGCTAACAGCCAGAGAAGAGCTCGTTTTGAAAGAAATTTCGTAATCAGTTGGCCACTGAATCAAGTTCCAGCTTCCGCGACCCCTGTCTGAAATGTTACTGAGGAAAACGGAGTTCAAGTAACAGGGCAGGAGAGACGATGAACTGAATGTGGCCCCGAAGTGTCCGCGTTTCACCAGCAGCGCCGCCACAAACGCAATGTACAAAATCCAATAGACATCCTGTGACAAAACGCGCTGATTTCTAATTACGCGGGTCCTAACCGCGGCATTCAAACTGGAAAATATATGGTAATTGGCCAGCGGCTTTATTCCCCGGTTCATCCGACGGGCAAATGTGGCCACTCCCAAATTGCGTTTCCCACGAGAATCGGTCCAGGTAATTTCCTGTGCCGACGCAAGGGTTAGGTTTGGCTTCCGAGCACAAAGAAGGGCGATGGGT